TTGGCACGGACGCTTTTCCACAAAAATTGCTTTTGCACAAAAGCGTCCATGCCAATCTAGACGCTCTTTTCTACAAATGCTTTTAACGGAAAAACTTTTCCATTAAAAGCATTTGTGAAAAATCATGACAGTCTAGATGTAGCCAGCGGGTTGTTGGGCCATTTCAGACATTGCAGTTGTTCTCCGTTTTGGTCTGTAAAGTTTCATGCTCTCATTAGCTATAATATTCATAGCATGCAGCATTGCATCAGATTGTTTTTGCAATGACCTCAAGTGGTCATCAGATTTTAATATAGCCTGATAGAACTGAGTGCATTCCCAGACTCTCTTCATTAATGCATTGTATTATAATAGTATTAAAGACCGATGAGTACAGAAGGCAGAGATTCAGAAAAAATGAATTTAACAGAGAAAAATAATAACCAGTTCTTTCTTACCAGACTAAGAATCTAATCCTTATGATAGCAGTTCATTTTTCTCCCACATCTTGATTTTTTATTATAATTTCTTTTTCCTCCTTATATTCAGTTTATATATGGGGCTCAAGAAAAAATTCTTGAGATCAATTACATGAAGGCAGCTAGTAAGACAGAAAATAGAGCAGAAACACAACGGGATGCACTTTTTCTAATACTTTAGACCATTCTTCCTTTAGTTATAAAAAAAGTTCTGCTTTTGTATATTCTGTGGAAGGTATCCATGGTGAATGGCACAACTTTGCCTAACATATTACAGGAATATGACTTTCCAGCATGAAAGACATCGAAGTTTGCTGTATTGGGCTGAAGTAGCACGTGTAAATATGTTGGGCAAAAATAACTTCTCATTTTTACATATCACAAAGACACTCAGTAAAATACAGAGCAGCTGCAGAAGCTACGGATAAAAGCTTTGTAGGAAAAAAAAAGGCATTTGCATGGTTTATTATGTTCTTGGACCAAAGCATCAGCAAGGTGCACGTACTTCTGCACATACAAGCAAGGCCATGAGAACTAACAAGCTTCCAAAAATTCATGATTTTTTTTTAAATCAGTGGAGAATAAGTCATTTCAATTGGGAAACTCCAATGTATTCAGTCAGAAAATAAATCCTATACAGGCAGTCCCCGGGTTACGTACAAGATAGGGACTGTAGGTTGGTTCTTAAGTTGAATCTGTATGAAAGTTGGAACTGGCGTCAGCCGCTGCTGAAACTGAT